TTTTGATGAATGAAAAAAAGACATTAATTTACTTATATATATATACATATATTGTTATTGAAAAATTAGAATATATATTAAAAAGAAAAAAAAAGGACGATGACAAGAGGTCAATGACGTTTTTCTTATCTCATGAGTCCATCCTCCGCAATGAGTGTCGATAATTTTCTCCAGAGAAATCGTAACGCGTTTCGAATGATCGAAATATACAAAACCAGAGAAGTATGAAGGGGAGATCGAATAGTGAAATTTTGCAAGACGAAGAAAAGAAGGAAGATGAAATGAAATGAAACCATCAGATGAGATTAAGTAATCTGAGAGTTTCATCGAAATGCATACATGCAAGGCTTTCCAACTAACTACGTAAATGTATATGTGTATTTGTTACCCGCCGAAAGTTTGACATCTCTACGTAAATTCAAAGAACTCCTGTAAATTTATAATAAAAAATTAATGTCCTTCAAAGTATAATCGAGGTAAATTAATTTATCAAAAAAATTCTTGAGTACAATGGAACCTCCAAGTATCCAAAGATCTTTTATTCGGAACGCTCTGTTCCCACATGTTTTATTATCGAGACGTGTGTATATATGTACCTTCCTGCTTGTGTTATCTACTATCGAAACAAATAGTCGACAATGTAGTACCATCCTTTATACAATATTACAGCTCCCTTATTGTTCCAGTATATAATTGAAATCGTATGCAATTACTATTCGTGTATAATGGCATCAAAAACGAATTGTGCAATACTAACAATAAGTGTTGAAATGGAAAAAATAAATACTCCATAAACTATAAAAAATGATGAAAGTGCAAAAGAAATTACTAGTTTTTAGTATAGTAATACGAAAATTTCTTTATCTGACACGACAATTGCGTTTCCCAATTAATTCGAATAGCAGAGATTTTACTATAGTATGTTTTAAATTTTGTATTATTCTTTTTTTTTATCAAGAAACACAAATATATTTTTCATTATTTTTTATATTCTAAGCATCCTAACAATTAGTTTTTCGATTTTTAATTGCACATATGTTTTCATATTTCTTGTTAAAGGTCAAAAAGATGTCACCCCGGTACGAAAGTTCACTCCAAATATCGTTTTAAATTATATTATATTGTATAGTATAATGGTCATAAAGATACCGAAATTTCATAAAAAATAATTTAACTTGTTAATATTTGATCTTTGATAACTTTATCGGTGTATTTAATTTTCATGAAAATCAGCCAATTATTTAAAACTTTTGAGGGGAAGTGTATATGTGTTTAACATGTATGCATTTTGATAGATATATAGATAGATAGATAGATGGAAACAAATGTAGATAATATATACATGTGTCAGTTAGGGTAAGGTAAGTTCGTTGTGCACGTAGTAATCGAGATTTGTGTCACGAGTCTGTTTTCCATATACGGTGTCCGTGGGGCTCTCTCACCATGCCTTAACCAGTAATCATGAACGTATGTACGTTACGCAATTGCATCGAATAATTAGGTATACATTTTCGTTCCTCTTCTTGTCTTTGGATACTTACAATGAGATAGGGAGAAAGAGAAAAAATAAAACCGAGATTAAACGATTATTATCTTCATTATCCTATTATACTTATTTTAAGTGTCATCAAATCGTTACTTTACATTATTATATTAATATTAAATAATTATATGTTTAACTATTGTATTATATAAGTGAGCAATTACAAAAATAATTATATTTGATATTTATGAAAAATATACGTTTAACTATTGTAAATGATCAAAAAAATAGTAATAAAATTACACAGTACAACTATATGGTTTTATTTAAATGCAACAATTGTGTAAAATTTCACAATATAAAAATTAATAAATAAAATTATAGTAAAACTATACAATATAAAATTGTATATACTTTCATAACCAAACAATTCTAGAGGCAACGATTGTAATAAAATTGCATACTAAAATTTATATTGCTTTTTTTTTAAATGCAACAATTGTCTTTTTTTCCTCGTATGCAATTGGTTGGAATTGGAAACGTATGGTGTACAGAAACGTTAAAAGATGGTTAGGAAGAAGTTGATAATTCCAAAAAGGCTATTTCCTCGATGTTTAACGGAGTAGCACACTGTACAAGCCTGGAATGGATTTGTTGTTGGGGTCAGAGGTATTACATTCCAGTAGAGCGTTAAGTTTAGAACAGGCTTCGGGAAGAGTACAAGTACACAACGAATATATATAAGTGTCAATCGTATGAGGACGGAAGCCTTAGAGAAACGAAACTGTTCGCATTCTTTCAATTCTTAAGAAGAAAGTGGATGTGAATGCAGAATATGGTAGTATAAGTACATTTATAAACATTTTCGAATTCGTACGGTTTTTTTATTATTTTACTTTCTCTTTCTCTCTTTCTCTTTGAAAATACGTCAATCCACGTAAATTAAGAAACGATGTGAAATGCAAATTTTCAAATCGTAATCTATTTGTAAGATTAGAAAGATAAAACGGACGTCTTTTCATCCTATGAACAGCTTCCCACGATACAATACATCAGTTACTACTTTTAGTCGTTATTCTTGTAAGTATAGAAAAAAGGGAGAGGAAAAGAAAGAAAAATAAAAAATTAACAGTTCTGAAAAGTTACATAAACCGAAATAAAAGCGGTTGTAACTTTTAATTACTATCTATAATCAAGACAAATATATATATAATTATTTGAATTATTAATCATCCAGAGTTCATTAATATTTATATTCTTCACTGAAATTATATCTAATCATTAAATACATTTATTTTAGATATAATTGAATGAGGGTCTGAAAGAAGGGCCTATGTTAAATTTTATTATCGCTTATATTACACATTTGCAGTTTGCAACATGTGCCCTTCTTTTAAAAATCCATTGCATTATTATCAAAAATGCATCCTAAAAGCTCACTGATAAATTAATAATGCATCAAGTATTGACAATTACATCAAATCCAAAATTGACAAATATCCAACGTACAAAAATTGATAACTAATAAAAATTACTAGATGTAGTATTATTTAAAGAATTATTATCAAAAATGCATCTTGAAGTATTCATTAATAAATTTGATGCATCAAAAATTTTGACAATTATTATATAAACCCAAAATTTATGAAGATCCAGTGTACTAAATCCATTATAGTATCTGATAAGATAAGTGGGATAGTAGTGTAGTAGTAGTATTAAAATAACGATTATCAGTAAAAGCATTTAAGGGGTTCACGGATAAGTCTCTCTTGGCGTTCACGTTTTCTGCTATGGGTTTGGCAGTGCATTGTGGGACAAGGTCGGTTTGCCATAACCATGCAGACAAGAGTTACGCTACGCTGAACACTCCCCCTTCTTTTTACGACTAGCTGTTAAATTGCTTCGAGTTGAAACTGCGCACCGCCGTGACAAAACAGACGGCGATGTTTCCTGCTTCTTCTCCTTTCTCTTTCTCTTTCTCTCTTATTTACTTATTTATTTATTTACTTACTTACTTACTTATTCACTCACTCATTCTTTCATTCTCTTTTCTTTTCTTTTTCTTTCTTTCTCAAGCTGATTATATTTACACGCAAGAGATCTACGTTACACATGAGTCTTATATTCGTATTTCGCGCCATTTTTTTCTTCTTTATAACGCCCTCCCACTCTCTCTCTTTCTCTCTCTCTCTCTCTCTCTCTTAAATAGCAGTGTAATACGCATGCGTAGTATAATTACCACCGCAAAACTACATTTGATTTATATAGGAGTATGTTGTACATAGAAAAAAAGAAAGAAAGAGAGAAAGAGAGAGAGAGAGAGAGAAAGAGAGAAAGAAAAATAAATAAGAAGAAACAGCACTGTTAATCCGTGAAAAAAGCAGCGATTTCATTTTGATTATGTGAAGATACACGTTATGCGTTGCTAAGTATAATATCGAGATCTAAATAGAGAACATTATTATTCTCGCTTCTAAATTTATATTCTTTCATATTACTGTCTAGAAAAAAGAAAAAGGAAAAAGAAACAAGAAAATAAGAAATAAATTATTACGAGTTCTTATCTATTTCCTATCGTCGTTATTATCTCGCATATTACAAATACTTGAATAATTAATTAATTGTATGTTAATAAATTTATTAATAACCATAGGGTAAAAAAGATTTTCTATTTAAAAATAGAAACAACGTTTTATTTTAATTTTTTTTAACGAATCTTATCGAATTAATTGGTTAAGAGTATAAAAAAAAGATTGAAAATATTCGTACATTTTTTAAACGAAGTAAAATTGTGGGAGTAAATTATTATTTATTTATTTATTTATTTTTTAAATTTTAGGACAAAAATACTTAATATCTTATTCAATGTCTTTTTCACTCTCATTTCATCGTCTAATCCAATCGAGAAGAGGCGAATGTTCTCGTGTGAGTCATTCGAGGTACACCGCGAATGATAATTCCTCAGAAGGCACTGACGTCATTTAATGTAAATTCGCAAAAATTCCAATAGCAACGAATGAAGTCAAAAACACCTTATATAAATCGTACATCGTAAAATAAAAAAAAAATAAAATAATATCTAGAAATATTGTCTAATAAGACAACTTCTCTTATTGTCTTCTTTTCTGTCAGACCGTTTTTTTTTTTTCAATAATTAGTGAAATTAAATATACGAGATCGTTAGTAAAAAGAAACCAAAGATGAAGTGAGAAGAGAGTGAGAAAGACAACAAAGTAAAATACGAAGAAGAGAAAAAGGAGGAGGAAGAGAAAAAGGAGGAGGAAGAGGAGGATGAAGAGAGGGAATTGAGAAAAAGAAGGGATGACCAGACGAATAAATGAGTTTCACGTTCACACGTGTTTCGTCTCCCTCATTCGGCTTGTGTTCACTTGATCCGACACACGCATGAGTTACCACCACCATCATCACTATCATCATCATCACCATTAGTTACATACAAAGAAAATATAAAATTAACCCATTACAAATCAGAATTATGTGTACCATTACTTTTGTATTTTTTTTTCTAAAATTTAGTTTAAAAAATAGTTTGAATCTCCTATCATCGAGAAAGCGTAAGTTTTAAATAAATAAAAAAAATGACTAAATTATTTCATAGTTCTTATAGTTTATTTGATCTTATATTAATTTTCATAGATCTTTGACTATGTGGTATTTCATAGTAGTTATCAAATAACTCGTGATATTAATTCAAGTGTATAACTCATCGTTACGAAGGAAATTATGCGCGATAAAGGAAGACTTTAGAGGAAGGAAGAATGAGATAGAGTAACGTGGTTTTGAATTTACAGAGAGCAGAAAGATTTCATCATCATCGTCGTTGCACCGTACGATACAGTGAAAATATTATCGTCGAATAATTCTACAAATGATAAATTTTGTTCATCGAGTTTTAAGACAGTTACAAAAGAAAAAGAAAAAAAATAAACAGAGCTAGAGGAAGAAGAAAAGAAGCCACAACAAGAAGCCACTGTAATTGTCGTACCGACTAATAATCAAATTACCGTCGATCGTTGCTACTAAGAAAAATCCAATGGTCGAGCTAGAGATGTTCGACACTGTGAACTCCATTTCTACTTTATGATCTGTACACTACCTTTTTTATTATATCGATGGTTATAAAACTAAAGAACGAATCAAAAGGTCTTTAGGCTTGTAATTTTGCAATATTAAAAAAAAATTTTGATAAATAAATCAAAGAAACTTTTGGGAAAGTAATTAACACTGATGCTACTTTTTGTGACACCAATTTGATGAATCACAGGAATGTATAGTGTTAGTCAACGTAATTTTGTTACCAATCATTAGTAATCAATGAAATGTAATTAATAAATCAAATTCAATTATTTTTCTCACGTGGTCAAAAAATAAATTGATGAATCATATTGAACGTTTTTTTCCATAAAGAAATATAATTTTAGAGATGATTAATTTAGAAAAGAAATCCACTTTGGGCATAGCTTCTTCTTCTTCTTCTCATCGGCATTCTATATTTAGCATGGTACACTCTCGTATCTCCGAAGAAGAAGCCATTTTTAGAGCGAGCGAACGAGCAAGCAAGAGAGATGATAAAAACAGCATATGTTGGGAGCTTATCACAGGAGAGCGCTATGAGACTTTACGGCTCTCCCCTCGGAACTCCCATCCGTCCGCCAGTTATTATAACTTCTACAACAACACAAGCTTAACGGACCCGATTAATTTTCGTCCAGTGCACGAAATTAACCCTAACGCTAAGTCAATTTCATTCTGCCCTAGACGTCGTCTTTCTTTCTATTCTAATCTCTTCAAATCGTTCAAAAATCCCAACTACCATTACAACCTAATAGTAATTCATCATTTTTTTTTTCTTTTTTTACTTTATCTTTTAATTTAATTGATATTATTTTTATGCAGGGTAGTCTCGAAAGATTTTAATTCATTTGAAAAATAAATTATAACCCTAAAACAAAGTCAATTTCGTTCGAACTTCGACGCCATCTTTTTTTTTACTCCGATATGTTGAAATAGTTTAAAAATTTCCCGACCACCAATTACAATCAAATAAAAATTCATTATTTTTTATCTTAATTAACAATATTTCTATACAGGGTGGTTTCAAAAGCTTTCGAATCATTTTTAAGATCTATTATTATTTGTTTTTAAGACTTTTTAGGTTAATTATTTTTAAATTGCAATATACTATACAAAAATTGTACAAGAGTAATTTAATATTACACATTTATTTTATCAAACAAAACTCGAGTTAATTTGTTACATTTGTTTCTAACGATCAGAATTTTCGAACGTATTTGTAGACATTTTAATTAGATCTTATCGAAGCGTATAAAAAGATTAGAATTAGAATAAATAGACTTACGCCTCACAATACGGCTGTTTGTTGAAGCCTTTGTACGTTCGCATATTCAAGGTCATCCCGCAACCCTGACACTTGAAGCACTGCTTATGCCATATCTGAAACAGAAAATAGAACGTACTTTACTTTTATGGTTAAACTTGGACTCACAACATGAATTGTGAGAATGCATTTCTTAAAAGGAGTGTAAGACTTAAAAAGAAAAAAATATAAGAAGAAACAGAAGGAGAAGAAGAAGAAATGATAGATCGATCATTAAATGCTACGAGATAAACGTCATAAACATCGTAAAGAAGGATTGAGAGATCGAGATAAGAATTGATTTAAAGCTATCCACTTGTATCTGTCTCTTTTTATTCAAGGTCACGAATCAGCTTTCAACCTACAACTTGTTAATTGCTATTAAAAGGTCGAGTATATCATTCTTTTTCTCTCTCTCCATTTCTTTTTTAAGCATGCAAGGAAAATCATTTAGAATTTCCACGAAGGAAAAGTCTCGATCGTTGAATGATTTAAAATTATAATGACGTTATTCTCACGGTTCGATGATTATTCCTGAACTAAAGGATGACTAAGCCCCAATGATTCTCACCGGACGTGCTTATCCGACCACGAAAATGTCGTTTGACCATTTTGGTCGCGAATACGAAACGCACGAAAAAAGATACTAAAAGAATTTTAAAAAGATTTTTAATTTTATTTTCAATGATTAGATACATAAAGTTTTATTAGAACGTTTGTTGAATGAACACGTAAGTTCAGATTGAAAGATGTTTATGATAGAACTTTTCGAATAGACTAGCAAGCTTCCTGCCATTTATTTACTCATGACAGAGATCTTCTCACGAGACTTGGGCCGCTACTGCAAAACAGATTCCTCGTTGTATGCAATATTGTCGAAACTTAGAAAAATGTTCAAAGAATTTTTATTAGTGAGAAAGAGAGAAGAAAAAAGAGAAAGAAAATTGGCCAGTTAAAATTAAAAATCGTAGATCCTTTGATGATTAATTACGTAAACGTGTTACATATAGAAATTTTTAAATGTTACTTTAGCATAGAAATGTTTGCTTTAAAATAAAAATTGTACCAAATTAATTAACAGTGTTTAGAATTTATTTTAAATGGATTAGTTTTTATAGATTCGACTACAAATACTTAAAAAAAAAATATATTTTGTTAATTAGCAAACATGATTCATCTTATAATTTGGTACAAAATTAAATATCTGAAAATTATATGGAAAATAATAAAAAATATATATATATATGTCTAACGACAAGAGGGTAACGAGAAATACGAAATGTTTAGGAGTAGGGATTTTCTCGTGTTAGAGTAGAGCAAGCAACAGGTTGGGATCAACTCCCACCTGTTGTAATCGTATGCCAAACCCACGCAACACAACAAAACCTGGTGGTAGTAACATGTGCCAATACGTATTTATTCAAGATCGTTCCTTACTAAAAATAGACTTTGTTACAATTTTTCCATTTGCCATCTTCAAATACAAAAAAAAGGTATCAAAATTTATCTTTTTTGTTCTTTGATCGTATGTTCCTCCATTTCCTTATTCTAATTCTTTTTGTTACTCCTAATAAAGGGATCTTTTTAACGCTCCGATAATCACATTTAACGCCGACAACATGGCGCATCAGTTAAATTGTGTATTAAATCGAATGACGAATCGCGTTCGCGAGTTCTCCTTTAATTCTCAAGTCATTCGAACGGTATTACATTGGATACCGTTATTGTTGAATTACATACAGCATTCTTAAACAATCTTTAACAGTATTTTTACTCACAAATCCTATTTTTCCGATTTCAAACGCGATCTATATATATTTTTCTTTATTTTCCCAACGGAACTTGGGAAGGAAGTTGGTTTGGGAACGGAAGTATATAGTGCCACTGCTAACTTTATACTTGTTCTCCATTTTTAAAAATACCTTCAAATGATTCTGATCGAGGTTCGCGTTAATGTATAAAATAATTTCCAAGACAAAAATGAAATATATTTTTATCCTTTTATTGGAAGAAAAAAAGAAATTAGTTTTTTGATATTTGTTCGATATAATAAAAACGAACTAACTTTCTATATGGTGGAATGACGTATCGAACGGACACAACGGTAGTCGAGGTCGTTGAAAATAAATAAATAAATAAATAAATAAATAAATAAAGAAATAAATAAAGAAAGAAAGAAAGAGAAAAATAAAAAGAAGTAGATAATTAAACGAGTAATAGTCTCAGCTATTAATGGAGGGACGTAAATTAATTAGAAGGCCGTGTTTCTTCACGAAATGCGGGTTGCACACTTTCGAATTGATAAACCAATTGATGGTTGAGAATAAAATTAGTATGTTCGAAAAAGTTACACTCTTGTGCCCCCTCCGGGTAGAAAACGCAAACAACAAATTTATCTTTCATTCGAATGTTTTGTTCAAATTCCTAAATTAAAAGTGTTCTCGGTCGTCTGTTATAAAAGCCGACGATACAAGTAGTAAGGAAATTTAGAAAATCAATGGGAAGTTCTTGATAGTTAATGGATCTAAATTTAGGATGACTATCTTTTGTAGTTTGTAACACCTACGTAACATGAATCTCGCGAACAATTTTACCAATATTTTACTGTTTATTTTAATTACTTTTTAATTTGTTTTATGTGAGATGTTATAATTGATAAAACAAAATATATATAATTATAAACTTTAACGCAGTATTTGATATCGTAGGAAATATAAATAGAATTTAAATTTCCCACGCAATTCTCAATCATTGATGAATTTAAATTATAATGAATGCTTTACTGTGAATATTAAAAACACACATACATTAAATATTATTATATTTATTATATTTAATTTAATGCAATGTAGGATTCAAAGTAAAAATTTTGTCTCTATAAGTACTATACGTGTAATTGTAGTTATATGTATTATCCTTTACATTAATTTTTATTTATTTGATCACATAATAATTGTTAATAAGAAATAATAATAATATTAATATTAAAAGTACTCAAAACATCTATTTCTATTCTTAAATATTAATAAATTTGTAATTTAGAAATATATATATAATTATAATCAACGGAAGAAAATATTTGCTGACTGATAATTAATCTGCTAACAATACGAAAAAGAGAAGGAAAAAATGGGAAAAATTCTGGCTACTTCTAATGCCATTCACTGGCAATCCGGTATTGAAGACATCCGGTGAAAGACGTAGATTGGATTTGCGTCAATGTACGATCGAATTTCAATGGTAATTGAAACTTGGCGATTTACTAAGGATCTAATGATCTATGTGTCGCGCAAGAAAGATTTCCTTGGTCAAATCGTTACAAAAAGAAAAAAAAAAGAAAAAAAAGAAAAATAAAACAAAAATATACAAAATTTAAAAAGTCGAGGTTGAAAAAATTTGAGTTTCAACAGAGTAAAAATCATTTCTTTTTCTTTTTTTTAATGAAAGTGCATTTAGGTAGACAAAAATAATTGTTTCTACGTTAGACTTAAAACTTTGTAATACAACTACGTGCATATATTTATTTGTTATCAAAGTAACACTAACTTCTTAAACTTTCGACTCGAAGGTCAAAAGTCGAAAGATAAGAAGAAACTTTGTTAGAAAAGGAAAAAAAAGTAATAACAAATAATCTGAAACTGAAATAAATTGTACTTGTACGAGATTCTCATAAACGCGTGTAAGAATATTGAAATAAAACAAGATTAATTGTTGATCTGACACGGCTATATGTACTCATGTTCCTCTTCACAGATGCATGATGAAACCTATGTAATTATTAAAATAAAAGATTGTATAAGTCATTCATATATCGTTATTAAAATTTATATAATTAAATAGTAGTTGCTTAAGTTATTACACTATTGTTTATTCTGTTGAGGTTATTATAAAGTATTTTTTTTTAATATATATATATATATATATATATATACATATATATATATATAAACAAATAAAAAAATAAACAATCTAAAAGATTTGTCCGAATAAAATATTTGTTAACACTACTACAAAATAATATGCAAGTAAACGACCCTAATATTTTGAATATACAAAATTTGTGCCATTACTTATAAATAATAAGCAATAATAATATTTTTCCAGTTCTTTTTCTCTTTTCCTTTTCTCTCAAAATCGAATCGAGAACAACTTATACGTCCTTGCGATTCGTCGCAAAATGAATTCTCAAGTGGGCCGCACGCCTTCTCGAAAGACTCACGAAACCATAAGTCGAAATAAAGTGAGACAGAGTGAGATAGAATGTGAAAGAGAGTAAGTAAGAGTAAGAAAAAAGAAAGAGAGAGAGAGAGAGAAGGAAAAGGAGAGAGAGAAAGAGAGAAAGAAGAGAAGGTAGAGAGAAAGGCGAAACGAAAAAGAAAGAAAAAAAGAAATATATATATGAAGATGAAAAGAAAAATAATGTAGCAAAAGAATAAGATAGAAAGAGACAGATCATACTGAGAGAGAAAGATAAAAAGAGAACAAATATAGTAAGAAAAACCAAAGATAGAAGAAGACAAAATGTGGAAAGATAAAAAGAGAAAAGAACATAGTAAAAAGAATTGAAAGAGAGAAAGAATATAATAAGAAAGATAGAAAAAGAGAGAACATAGTATGAAAGATGGAAAAAATATTGTAAAAACTAAAGATAGAAAGAGATGAGGATATGGTAAGAAAGAAAGATAGAAAGAAACGGCTACATTTTGTGTAATAAAAATTGAACAATAAATCATCAATTACAAAAGCGAAAGAAAAATTACAAGAAGTAACAAACAAGAATAAAACAAAAATAATATCTTAACATACCTTATCGAGACACTTGAGCTCCTCGATCGGATAAACCGTTTTCTCACAACGAGCGCACGTCTTGCTCATCTTCCTTCCTTTCCTTTCGTCGTTTATCCCAGTGGAAATTGAGAAAAGATGACGATTTATGAAACAGGAAGAGAAGAAAGGAAAAAAACCCAGGAAATGAAACAGAAGAAAAAACTTTAACAAAGTATGATCAAACTTTAAACAAAAATGGATTAAGAAAATAATGAACAAAAACAAAAATTGAAAAGGAATAAAGAAAAAAATTTATAAATAATTTGGGTTCTTCCTTATTCGATGTTCTATCAATCGAATCGACGAATAGAGAAAAACAGAGAAAGAGGAAGAGAGAAAAAAAACAAATTAAAAACTAGCAACTTAAATGAGATGGAGGAGGAGGAAAAGGAGGAAAGGAGGGACACGTGCCTTCTTTGCACAGAATAGGCACAAGCACTCGGATTTATCGATGGTGATGGTGGTGATGACGATGACGACGACGACGACGACGACGATTTTGTTTGATGTTGATTATCGTCGTAGATTATGTATTCGATTACACTCTTTGCACGTTTTATTTTTCTTTTTAATTATTTCTTTTCTTTTTTGTCGCGCACCGAATTTCGTTTGTGTTTCACTCGAATTTGTTCTTCTGATCCAAAGCAAGAATTCTTAATGATTATAATAATAATAATAATAGTAGTAGTAACACCGATAATACGAATTAATGTAACAACGTTCTTTTTCTAGTATTTTATTCATTCGTTTCTTCTGTTGATAAGAACACACAAGACGTTACGATGAAATGAGATAAAGTATTTATTTACACGGTTAAACTTGAATTATTTGTTTCCGGAGAGCCGAAAATGCAGGAGCCACGCCGACACCAGCAGCATTGAACCGCACTGCGCCCTCTCGGTTTCTCCAGATCGTCTATTATTCCTATCTTTCTTTCTCTCTCTTTCTTTCTCTCTTTTTCACTCTTTCTCACTCTTCCTCCCACTCTTACTTTATTTCTTTCTTTCTTCGGAACTCTCAACGTAGTCTCTGCAGGTTCCTACCGCGAGCAAAAACTCTCGACAAGTGACAGAAATGGTGGAGGTACCACGTTGGTCAACTCAACAACTCTGATGATAGTAACTTGGTTCCTTAACAACCCGGATGTCGCTGCTGTCGTTATCTTTTTTCTTTCCTTAATCAAATGAAAACGTTTCATTGCATGTATCGGTCGGTAATGTAGAAATCGTTACGTATTATTTTTCATGTGAAATATTTATGAACTTTCTTATTGGCTTTATATCGTTCAGTTATTAAAAATTTAATCTATTCTTCACTTTTCTTTCTCTATATTTTGTTATTTGAAAGTGTTTAATTTGTAGATGGCATTAGTATTCTACTACGTTAGTCGATATAATTACAGTTCTCGTTAAGCCGCCAGTTTTGCTTTAAATCTTGTTTCCTAAAACATTGAATGAATTATTGTCAACTAATAAGGGTTTAACCATGTGTTTTATTTCTTATCTGGTGGAAGTATGACGTTACGCTTCCATATTCTCTACAAGGTTCGATAAGATTAAGGCGCGCACTTCGAATATAGTTTAATAGTCTACGATCGCTTCCGATCATACAAATAATATTTACTTAAATTTTATTTAAAAAAAATTTAAATATATGATAGTAATTTAATAAAATAGATTTTTTTAAATGTATTTCTAAACTAATTTCTTAAGACTAAAATTAGAAGTTTACTATAAAAATATGTAATGGAAGAGTATTAGCGGGAAATTCAAACCTTCATTATATCGATTATTATTAAAATAGTATATATATAATATTATTTTATTGCAGAAAAATACAATTAAAAAAATAAATAAAGATATGCGATGTTAAATATATTGATTTTAATCTTTACCTTTTATAAATTGGTACACGATACTAAAATCTTTTTTTGATAAACCATGAGTATTGAGTATTCTATAAATTTGATGAGCTAAAGAACCCAAAGGAATTAATGTATTTGTCCTAGTGGCAGCAGATTGAACCAAACTTAAATCCTTTGCCATAAGAAATGTACTAAAACCACCCTAAAGTAAAATATCCATTATTTAGTTTAACAAAAAGTATAATATTTAATAATCATCATTATTAAGCAGATAATATACACATTTTTTTTAATATTTAAAGTATTGTATATATTAATTAACTTACTTCATAATTTCTGGAACTAGGAACATCAGGAAGTATACCAGGAACAGGATTATACAATTCCGAAGACCAACATTTTCCTGAACTAGAATTCACTATGTCGTTCAATACACTATTTTTTAAACCCAATCTATCAAATGCAAAATTCAGTAATCAAATAATAATTAACAATACTTTGATGATATTTTTTAATACACTTTACCTTTGACCAAGATTAAAAATTTCGGCCGTACCAATCATACTAATAGCCAATAACATATTATTACACAATTTTGCTGCTTGTCCCATTCCAACATCACCGCAATGAACTATTCTTGAACCCATAACTTCCAAAATAATCTTGGCGGAATCAAAATTTTCTTTAGAGCCACCAACCATAAAAGTCAATGTACCATCCCTCGCTGCGTTTATACCTAAAATATAAAAATATAAACAATATACTCATACAATCCTATACAAAACAAGATTTACCTCCGGAAACAGGAGCATCGATAAATTTAGCTTCTCGTTTTTCAACCTCTTTCGAAATTTCTTGCGACACGAATGGGTCTATTGTACTGCTGTCTATCAGAAGTACACCTTTTTTCACTGAACTATAAAAAATATAAATCATTAATCTAAGTCTAAATATATAAAAACATACAGGATATTCCAAAAATCATGAATTAATCGATGAATTATTTTTCGTTTGAGCTATAACTTGAGAAACATCCAGTATATCTAAAAATAAAAAATGTTTCGATATTTTCGATGCACTGATACCTCAATACACCATTAGCACCAGTATAGCAATTTAAAACGTGTTGACTCGAAGGTAACATAGAAATGAGCACGTCAACATCCTTTACCGTTTCCGCGCCGGTCGATGCAGTTTTTGCACCGGCTTCAATCAAGTTAGTAATTGCTGATTTATCAACATCAAACACCGTTAATTGATAATCCTATAAAAAAAACTTTTAGATCAAATTCTTATATTCGTAATAATAGTTTAAGTTGAAATTGGAATAAATCCAAACATTGAATAAATTTATTCCACGTAATTTATTTCATTGTAGAAATATATTAAAATAATATATTAAATGGAAATAAATAGATATATTTAGATATCAATATAAACTTTATGTAAACAATAAAACTCTAATATTGCTTCCATGCTTTTTCTTAAATCTAACTTTCATTTTAAATTAATAAAAAATATAATAAAATAAATTATAAAAACAATATTTTCAATATTTTTACAATTTATAGCATAAATTTGTTTAACAATCGTTTAATTAATGTTATATTAGAACAATCTTCGGAACAGTGATATTAAATCCCTCATAAATCAAAATTAATTTGTGTTCAATTTTTCGACCTCGTTATACGTCGTTATAATTATTGGCACAATTTTCTTACCTTTTTTAAAATATTTCTTGCCATATGATTACCCATATTTCCTAAACCGATAAATCCAATTTTGGAAATTTGACGCACACTTGTTGTATTCATCCACTTTGACAATTTTAAACCAAAAACGAAGAGATTCATTTTTTTTTATCTATTCTTATTTGATTTTAATAATAATATTATCGTTATCAACACAAAGACACTGGATCTTTACTCGCGTACTTTGTTCGCGATATAGTCTTAGAAATGATTGGTAATATAACATGCTAAAGAAATTGTTTTATTTTAAATGCAAGTTCATTAAAAAACTAATGTATTCTTAAACTCGATAAATATAAATGAGGTTGTTTATCTCTCTTTTACGAGTCTGTTAAAGTATCGATGACGCTATCATAAGTTAAAAGAAACAGTGAAGTAGAAACACGTTGAGCAATCATTGCCGATAAGATATATGGATCAAAATATTTATTCCAGTTTTATACTATTCGTATATCTATCTATATATTATGTAAAAATGTAGATTTCGTTTGTGCCAGTCGCAAATCTCCAAAAGTATTCTACCAATTGTTTTGAAATTTTGACACAATGTTGCATTCGCATACATGTTTTTATTACACTAATTTATTTATAAAATAATTAATTAATTTTTAAAAAATAATTGTTTAATACAAGTAAGTCCAGCGCCATCTGTTGGTCATAGATTTTGGCGAATGGGTGGAAAATTTGAACATATATAAATATGTTCTCGCATAACATTTGAACATACACATTTGAATATACGCAATATGTTCTTATGTTCTAAATACTAACCTTTATCTAAACGATAACGTCATATTTTGGCTTAATCTGATTTTTCAATATTTATGTTCAATTTTTAATTTCATTTACTTAATTGAACATTTCTAATATTTAATTTTGTATTACATTGGGTAGAAATTGAGTTTAATTATTTTGTGCCGTCTTCTAAAGGGGTGAGGGGACAAGGTAGGTTATCTTCTACAGGAAAAATGCCCATTTATATGACTTTTCGTCTAGGAAAAGATTGAGGTTCCCACGCAGGGCCGGGAAGATAGAAATCAAGTTTGTCTTGGAGGAGGGAGGTTTAACATTTTAGAAACTTATGCTTTTTTTTCTTTTCTATTTAATCAGACTGAGCCACAGCAACGCGTGGCGGGGCACAGTTAGTATGTATACATGGACCGTTTATTTTGAAAGTGGTGTAAGTCCATTAAAAAAAAAAAAAAAAGAAAAAAAAATTTATGCTTAATTTAAAGTAAACTTTTTATGGATAACTAGTTAATATTTAATTTCTTAAAAAGTGCCCATGTTTTGTACAATTTAAAATTGGTCGGTAAAAGAAATTGAGTAAATAATCATTGATGTGCAAATCTTTAATTCTCTCGAAACAAGAGAAAGTGGACTTACACCACTTTCAAAATAAACGTTCAACACACACACATATATTGATATAATATAAATTATATTCCTTATGTTACTCATTTACTAATATTACAGAGATACAAAATATTTAAATAATTAGAATTATAAAAAATAATTAGAACACAAGAGATTACATTTTTGTACTTAAATATAAAATATAAAAGGCATTTAATAAATTTAATTCACATTTTTCAAATAGCATATTAAAAATAACGAATCTCGTGAAACTTCAATATCCTGCAAATAAAATTAATTTATTTAAAAGGTATTTTTCAAATCGCACATTAAAAAATCGAATCTAACATAACTTGGATAATTCTAAAAATAAAAATTAATTCCTTTAAAAGGTATTTTTCAAATCACACGTTAGAATCGAATAATATATACTCCAATGTGTGTTTCAACAACAATAGAAAAAGAAAGGAAGAAACGAGAGAAATATAGTAATGCTTTAGAAGAGTATCTATCAAATCACACGCTAAAAAATCTAATAAATATTTAACCAAATAAATTACCCTCTCATTCTATTTTATATTATCATAATAATATAACGATGTCAAGTATACGATCAATATTATAATATATATTTTTTTTCTCTTTTATCTTAATTGCAGAGACTAATAATTCCCTGGAGATACGTTAGAAAGAGAGAATACTTTAAAAAGTATATAATACATCATTCAAAAGCTCATTCTATCGTAAATCACCTCTCCTTTGGACGGGAAGTAGATTACATCATATGCTTTTTTATCGACCTGACACACGTCATCGGTACATTTTAATTTTTCTCTATTTTTCAAAGCCTCAACTGCCAACCCTATTATTTAAGCAAGTCGTAAAATGAAAAATTGTTATTGTAAAATTAAATGTAAAAAGAAAAATAAAGTAAGAAGAGAGCGAGAGGGAGAGAGAGAAAGAGAAATTCAATAAAAACTACCCTTCTAATGCTTTTCATGGTTCTTTCCTCTTCCCACCATCAACCCCTTCTATATAAACAATGAATTTCTGAAATGACACCAATTAAGTTTTTACGATAGAATATCGAGAAAAGCAATTACACGTCATTAAATATTTACTTAATACGATATTTACAACATGACATTCAAGGATTTCAGATATTAGTGTTTACTTGTTAACTTCTTCATGTTAAAACTGTTATCTGCATGGTGTTAAAAGTGCTTAGAAATGTCATATCACAAGTACATGTAAACGATGTCCCAGGTAGATACTTTCCGTATGCTCTAATTATTTTCTCCCTTTCTTTCTGTCTTTTTCCTTTCTCTTCCCCCTTTTTTCTTTACACTCATATACATCTCTTTCTCTCTCTCTCTCTCTCTCTCTCTCTCTCTCTCTCTCTATATATATATATATGTTTGCATATACGAGTATATAAGAACAGGATGGTAAAGCCAACAAGTCGATGGTAGATTCTCGTCGAGTACACTTGTGTGCTGTTGTTGTTGTGTAGTGGTGATGGTGGTGGTGGTTTCGTATTATTCACTCACGTTTACTTAAGATCTATTTTCGTTTTTATAAAAGATCTTTTAATGATATTAAAAATCATTTATAATCGTTAACCAATGGTTCATCTAAATTATGTACGATAATGAGAGTATATTTGTTTCTTTATATTATAATGAAAAATATACGATTATCAAGAAGCAGTGAAATTGTTCACAAATTCATTGAAACGTCTTGGATTACAGAGAAGGATTTTAATTTTACTTTAAAAACGACTTTTCAGAATTCTGTTTGTTGCAACGTTTACCTGCATGGTTGAGATTTCTTCTATAGTCTAATTAAATGATTTGGATTCTTTTTAATTTTTTAATTTGCATTTACCTTTTCGATTTCAGATACTTCTCCGGAAATACATTATTTGTTTAAAAAATTTGTCGATTATTACCCTTACAAATATTCATTGAACGTTAATACTTATGATTGCTCAGCATATTTTTTATTGGGCTCGACCGAGAAAGAAATTTATAATGATTTGAAGAAGTGAAGTAACCAAAATATTTTTACGTTCTTTTTTTTTTGAAATAATTCATTACAAATTTAAATTTGAAATGAACATTTTCGTATTTTTAATTTGTTTAATATTTGCATTCATTTATTTAGAATTCCAACGTTTAAATCGAGCACAGAAATTTTAGTCGTTGTAAATAATAATTTAGAAATAAATTCAAATATCTTAAACGTAACAATTTATGGAAACGCAAACGCTAACTTGGTATCCAAATCAGGAATATGGAGTTTGTCGGAAAATTATTTATTGCCAAGAATCTTTAAAAATGTCGACAAGTATAAATAAAATATTTTTTATTAGACTAAAATAAACGATTAATTCTTAAAAAAAAAGAAAATGTTATTTGGATCACATAAGTATTGATATAAATAATAGAATAAAATAAATAATTTTTGTAGATACGAAAATTTGAAACAAGATGATGGAAAAGTGAATTTTCATGGTAGACAATTAAGAATAGCGACACTTTATCGTCCACCCGTATCTTATTTGAATCGTACGAGTATCAAAATTATCGATGACGTCGAAGAAGAAATATTCGACGCTGACGATGGTATTAATACTAAATTTCACAAATTAATCTAACTTAGAAAAATATATTTATTTCAATAATTTAGATCTCGAGAGAGATGGTATCGAGGTGAAATTGTTATTACTAATGGCAGAAAAATTAAACTTTACTTGGATCATTAAAAAATCGAAATATAGGTATTAAATTCAATAAATAACTTTCGTTTAATTAAAAACCCTAATTTTCTAATTTTACTCAAAATTATTTGGTCAAAATAATTACAGATACGGAAAAAAATACAACGAAACTGTATGGGAAGATGGATTGATAGAACCGCTTTATAAAAATAAGGTACATTTGTAAACATCATAATTTTATATTGAAATACTATAAATTAAAAAAAAAAATGAAATGTAAAAAACATTTTGGGGATCTTATTTTTATTTTTAAAAATATATTGTTCACTTTTTATAGGTCGACATGGCGTTTGGCGGAATATGGTTGAACTTAGATCATCATAGTTTCGTCAACTTGACGGAACCATGGTACCAATTGTTTATTCACTTTTTAGTACCACGTCCACAACCAACAACTAGTTTCTGGGCTCTAACTAGACCTTTTTCATTAACAATATGGATTCTACTCGTCCTATCAATACTCTTACAAAGTATTTATATGTTTGTTCATGCTCGATTCAATACACAATTTCCTGAACGTAAGATCAAATCAAATTTCAAAGCAAATTTATTACGAAAACATTTTTCTTTTACATTTTTAATAAAATGAATTCTATTCAAACAGGATTTAGAAATTTTTTGTTAACTCTGATCGAAATGACTGGTCGATTGTTGGGTTCTTGGGCACCGAAAAATATGGTCTATGTTAAACTACAATTATATCTTTGGCAAATGTTGGGATTGATATTGGTCACTGCTTATAGCAGCAGTTTGGCAGCTAAATTAACTAATTCAGAATATGAAGAAAGGTTTAAAAATTACATTAAAAATTTTTAATTTTTTATGGAAAAAAGTACTTTATTTTACTTTATTAGCATTTTGTAAACTAACTGTGAATCTAACTAGGGTAGAGTTTAATTGAGTTGTATATGTGCACAAAAATTTATTTCACTTGTTAAGGATAATATGTCTAAAAAGAAAAATTCCTATCGTGACCACGTGCGGTCTCATAAAGCAATAATGTACTCAGGAAGAAAAGAATAATTTAAGGGACAAATTAAGAGGCTTTACTAGACCCTCGACATTCGCAAAACATTAACCTTTTTTTCGGATTATCAGCTCTTTAAATCGCTGGAATACTCTTATAAATTATTCTGAAGTAGTAAACCACTTAATCGGATATTTTTATTCCGAAACAGCAAATTTTATGAAGAAGATATATACAAAAACACACACACATATACAGCAGTAAATAATTATGGAAATTATATTTTATAATATTATATAACAAAAAATACAAAATATTTTTGTTATACTAAAAAAATAATGGACTTTATAAAATACACCTAATATTTCGAATTAATGATAAATAATATTTGTTATCTCTTTACAGGATCGACACGATACAACAATTTCTCGAAGCTAATTTGAAGTGGGGAAGAAAACCACCAACTCCACCCTTCAAAGAATATTTCGACTTAGACGTACGTAACAAAACGCACGTACACCATATGCACATTATTTAAATTAGAAGAAAATCTAAGGACACCAAAAATTATAATTAATTTTTACGAAACAGAAAACCGGGGATTAATAATCCTCTTCTTTAGGATCCTGATGCCTCTCAATTGCCGAGTAGATATAAACTTGTTGAAACATCGAAGGAAATTCATGAACATATAATTAAAGGAAATTATGCGATAATTGGAAATTTCGTTGGATCTGTATTTTTTCCTGAGGATGAAATTGCCAACGAAGATCTCAAAGTAAGACAATTTAACGCTCAAAGATATTCAAATCATTTCTTATCACTTCTATTTATTTGATCTGTATTTTATATTAATTAAATAAATAAATTATCGATATATATATATATATATATATATATGAATATTTTGTTTCGATATAAATAATTGTTGATACAATATTGTGTATAAAAAAAAGGTTTAAAATCTAACAAATGTTAAATCGATCATTATTTGAAGTCATTTTTGGTTGATGGTGGTGTTTACTACCCTCTAGCATACTTTTAAAACCAATAAATCGAACTAATGATATTGAAGACGAACACGAAGGTGAATATACTTAAAAGAGTATTCAATAAATTCCTAAAACAAGAAATATACTTTTACAATTAGTACTAATTTACAGAAATTACTATTGATTTATATATATTTAATCTGTTTTATTATTCCTAATATAATTATCGATCAACTACTAATATTAGATTGCGAACAGTAATTAAAAATACTGATCCAATAAATAGTATAATAATATAATTCATTAATTCGATTGTATTTATTATATCAAAGAATTATCGGGTGATGAAAGAAATGGTCGGAAAATTTTACGCAACTTTTGCTGTTCAACCTTGGCTACTATCACCAATAAACAGGGTAATTCAAACAAATTTAATTTTATGTCTAATAAATAGATTCTCTAAATCCATATTTTATTTTTATTTTAAATCGATTTATTCTTTTCCAGATAATGTTACGACTAAAGGAATCCGGAATTGCCACTTTTCATTTAGAAGATGTCTTACGACGACGTGCTAGCTTTAATCTTCGAGAAATTCTTATAGAATATGATGGAAAAAATGGACTTCGAGTACTCACTTTGACGCCTTTAGGAGCTGCTTTTTTTTTACTTTTACTTGGACTATCAATATCAACTCTCGTTTTCTATTTAGAAATTAAATATGCCAACAAATCCAAATCAATTCGTGAGAATTTACGCGACATTGATCAAAAACGAAAATCATACTCGATCTCTATTGGTTAAAAATTAGTTTAAAATTAATATTATCCGATTTATTAAATATAAACAATTTTTATGAAGCTGCTACTACTTGATCTTTAATAATAATCAAACTAAAAGTAATCTAAAGTCACATTTTGTTGTTCTTGAGATATCTAGTTAATAGTTAATAAGATAAAAAAAAAATTAAGTGCATTTGTTAATATAAATGAATTCTTTTATGTAAATTGAAACAAAAAATTTGGAAAATAGCTCGTATGCCTATGAGAGCAACAAATTTTTAATTCATACCTCAAATAACTTAAAATTAGACTACCTTCATAATCGCTGACTGATTGATGTGGCAATATAACATTGCTTCATACAGCAATATTACAAATATAGTTTTACAGAATTGATTCTGTATAATTAACACCGTAATAAGTATTTTAACAATAACATAAAAATATTTATATTGCATCCATTGAAAACGGTTTCAATTAAATTTTATAATCAAATACTAGTCTAGAAAAATATCATTACTTTTGGAAATATTATAATATTATATTTTCCTGATATATATATATATATATATATATATATATATATATATATATATATATATATACACACATATTATAACCGTTTTACAAAGGGTGGTTTTTTTAATCACCAGGCTTGATTATAAAATAATTGTACCTTCTTCACCTGCATTTAAAAGCCATATTTCGATTGCGTTTGTTTTCTAGTCATCCGGTTAACAGCCCATTGATTCTTCAATTCCACTTCCATGGCTTTAGCTTGGTGCGCTAAGTATGTAATTTGATGTTTCTTTTTTGATTGGAAATTAATTCCACTACTTTTCATAGACACAGGCCTTTCTACAGGATCTTCTGTTAATGCCTTCACCAACCATTCCCTTTCATCAGGTTTAATATCATCGCCACTAATTTCTATTATGTTAGCTTCTTCCACTTCTTTATTTTTTCTCTTTATACCTCTCTTACCGCAGAGATATTCTATAGCTTTTTCATCAAACGCTACATTACCTTCAGCGTCTACGTTATATTCTTGTTCAGGTATAGGTAATTTTGGTCCAACTTCTGCTTTATTTTTAATTAATATTTCATCTCTTGGTAGATTAATGATGTTACTTGTCAACGTTAAATTAGAATTTGGAACGTATTCTTTTATATTATTGTCATCTATGACACTATTTACACTTGTGTTATCTATCATTTTAAATCCATTTAATTGTTTGGGCATTGATGCAAAATTCCTACTTTCCGTATTCTGCACATTTGAAAATTCTGTATCTGGGACAGAATCTATTGTATTCAAAGCAAAGAAATCTATGCCAGATTCGTGGTTATCAGTTTCACTAGTATCGCTTTCTGCTCCGTCTTCCAAATTTGTTTTGTTGTTAGATTTTATTGACTTATCATTGGGTAATACAACCTTTTTTGTCGTAGTCGATGTCAATACTTTTTGTGACTTGGTAACAATATTTGGTATCAGAGGTTTTTTAACCTTTTGTTCCAACACTTTAGGTGGCGGTAAGAGAGAAAAAAGTCCTGATCCTTTCTGCGAATGTTACGAAAAAGATATTAAGAAACAAATTATATAATGAAAAACATTCTAAGAATTAAAAATCATCTTACATCAATCGATGTAACTTTACTTTGCTTTTTCATATCCTCTTCGTCAAGATCCTTGAACTGAAATCAACAAATGTCAAAAGAATAAATATTTGTGTTATAACATTTTACAGATAAAATAACATTTATTTTTAATATTCATTAAACCATTAGACTTACTTCGCACAAAGATCGAATCATTATTTTAACTGGCTTTTTTGTTGGCCTTTTGTCTTGCCCCACTTCCTTCTTAACTGCAATCTTACCCACTTCCTTCTTTACTGCAATCTTACCCACTTCATCATCTTCCTCTTCCTCCACATCCTTCAAATTTATTTGCTCCGATTCAGTATTTTTTGGTCTCGGCAATACATTCCAATTAATTTTTGATAATGATTCATTATTTACAGATAATTTTACATTTGTCTGATATTTAGATTCAGATAGATGTAAATCTTTGTTTACAAAGTTGGTTAGAGAGGTTATTTCATTTTTACTATTGTTAACTTCAGTCGAATTATCCTCTTCATTCTCAGAATTATTATCACTACTATCGTATGCTACTAAACTCATTTTCTATTATTATATTTAACATATACGAAGAACTGATATTAAACGATTTAATAAATACAAGGTTGCAGTGACAATTTAAATTCACATAAAACTTATTTAATAACCTTCCATCAGAATACTTTACGATCGAAATGCCATCTGATAATCGATTTCAATAGTTATCCCGAAGAGGCAATCGAAGCGCCATCTAATAGTTAATTTCAAAAGTTCAAATTTAGGAGGTACACTTACTTTATTTTTATATCTTTTAATTATTATAGATATTAAAAATTATGGCAAAATTATAGATTAAGAAACATTATACATTTAACATAACAGAAGATAAAATATTAAATGCAATAAGAAAATAAAAGATATATATATATAACATTAATATAAATAATGTAGAAATGATATATTTAGTTAAAATATTATTAAAATTGTCTATTATATAACACAAATTTATTTTCAAGATTATCGTAATCTTTTTGTTTCTTTTCAAGAATAACTTTAGCTTCTAATAAATTTGGTGGTAGATCATGATATTCACTTAAAATATTATCTAATTTGATATTTTCTTCTATCATAGCTAAATACTGTTTATACTTTTCTGTTATTAAATGTACTTGTAAATCATGGATTTTTAAATTATCTAACGTGGCTGTTAACTTTTCTAACGTCTGATTATATTCTTTTAATTTCATCTTCATGATAACGTCTTGCGAGGAAAAATCTTCTAAATCTTTTTCTGCATTGGATACAAAACCAACAGTGGATTGTACAGCTTTCTGTATGGAATTAATTTCGTTTTGAAGGGACCCTATTCTTCCATTTAGAAAATTCAATTCCATATTTATTTCTTTCAAAGAAATATTGTATTCCATATCGGCTATGTTTTTTCTTCGTTTGATGATATCTAATGACGTTTTACTTAAAGATGACATCTCTTCCGATCTCATGATCATAAGACTTTTGCTTAATTCTTCATTCTTACTTTTGTCTACAGTTTGTGGTTCTATTTGTAATCTGTAGAATGCAGATAACTCCTTCTCACATGCTACATTTTCTTTCTTACATTCCTCCAATCCTTTACGCAATTTTTGCAATGCATCATTTTCGCCATAGAGTTTATCATTTTCTAGTTTTGTATTAATATACTCGTATTCATATTCATAATCATAGTTACAAGTTCTTGCAGATTGTGGCTGTCAAAAAAAGTTTAATTTATTAAATTGCAACATTTATATGTCATGTTTTTTACAGTTAAAAAAAAAAATCTTTTCAAATCGAGAACAATCGAATAAAGTATTTTAAACAAACTTCATTTAAAAAATAAAAAATATATTTAAAATTTATTCTACCTTTTTGATATCCATAATTATCTGCAACAAATCATCAAATTAAATTTAAATATTTCTTCCTTATATGATTTGATATGAAGTCTTGAACATAACCAAAATTTTTAGCACAAACTGCATTTACATATAAATTAACTATAAATAAATTATTTATAAATGTTTTAAAGTAAATATAAACGGCTACCACTATTTTTTGAGTTCAATAAGACTAACATTGTTTTGAACGACGCGAACACGGAGTCAGATAACAGAAGGGCGAACGACATAGGAAAATAATTAGCACATACGAATCAGTGATCCCAGAGACTTTAGTTCGTCTGATCGACACAGGGGCGTAAAATTATCGTACGCCCCGGGAAAATTTGAAATCCGACAATTTCTCGGACGAGATTTTCAAAATGTGGAAAAAGTGTCCAAGTTCCAACTTTTTCAAAGTTGATGACCTTTTTTTTTTTTACTCATCAAGTTCAAAACCCTATCATAAAAACGATAAAAACGGCGGTCCACAGGAAGATAGATTTGTTCGTACAGAGATCGTACACAGATAGATCGTACACAGATCGTAGTAGTGGTTCTCCAAATTTCGATTCACTGTCGGAGAATCGTACCCGTTTGCAAAATTTGATGACAAAAAAAAAATAAAAGTTCTTCAAGTTTTCGTAATTCCAAATTGTATTTCTCCACGGCGCGTGGTGGTGGTATTATTTCTCCTCTGTCGCGCAGCTACCTCGGCTTCCCTTGGCTTCTTTCGGTTTTCCAACACACCGACACGTAAATTTTGTTGTGTGCGAGGCGTATTGGGCTCGAGAGAAGGGGTAGAAATGTTCCGCGATCTGGCTTCACTACTCGACACTCGAAAACACGGAGGATAGATACCAGGAGTCCGAACGATATAGGATTTTTCGCATTTTTTGTGATAATCATTTCTTGACCCAGATCATAGTTCTCTTTTTTGCCACTGGCTGCGCAAGTATTCAGAACGTACCGATACTATTATTATTATTACACGTAAATTATATATAAAATATTAATTTATTTTTTTAGAATTATTTTTATTAAAAAATGGGAAAGTGTTGTGCCGTTTATGGTTGCCTTAGTGGCCGAAAGGCAAGTGAGAATTTAGGAAAAGTGGCTTTATTCAAAGCACCAAAAGTGGAAAACCTCAAAATAATATTAAAAATTTTATGTTAACAAATAATTGATTATTACATCTGTGTAGTTTTTAAATAATATTAATTCCACGTTTCTTAAAATATTTTTTTTTCAGAGCTGTCAATAGCAACAAGACTTCCCGCGTAAGTATTTAAACGAGTACTCTGTGAAAACAACGCGCCCTACCGGCAAAATATCTTGTCCCCTAAATTGATACCATTCTTTCAACATTGCGTTCGGACTCCTAGTATCTATTCTCCGTGCTCGAAAAAGTCGTATTTTGCAGTGTTTACCCAGGATTACCAACAAAAAAGAGAAGAATTCTTTTATCTGTCTATGATGTTTAATTATTCAGATTGGTATTAAAAAAAAAACAAAATAAACTGTTTGAAGAAACAAGTGACAATAACATTACTTAACCTCGTAATTTATTTACGGCATATTTTATTAGTATCGTTATTACATAAAAAACATTGTTATTTTAGTTATATAGTAAGTTAAATTGAGATATTCCTATATAATTATTAATTACCAATTTATTATTGGTTCAGTACAGAAAATAAATTAAATTCCTTGGGAACTTGTGTCTTTAACTGCTAATTATTATTTTATAGAAATGTTTAAATGCAAAAATTGCAATATTCAAGTGAGCCCAAATAATGTCGGGAAACACGATTGTTTTATTAATAAAGGTGATAGAATATTCTTAAGTGATGATAACAATTTCTTTTACGACGGTAATAATAAATTTTCCTAATGTAAATGAAGTATTGCAAATTATTTTAAATTTCTATGAAATTATTTTTTTTAGTAGATGACGTCTCAAAAGATCCAAGAGTTGTTATCGATGAAACTACTGATTATGAAAATTATGAGATTCTTGAAGAAAGAAATACAATTATGTTATAAATTTTGTTTTATTAATTGAATTATTTCTTCGATAATACTTGTGTTGACAGTAAATATATTCGATTCTGCTACTTAATGCTTATATTTGGTTAATTGAACAATACTTACTTTGAAATTATAGTTGGTTCAAATAATTATTAATAAACAAAATTATTATTATTACAAAACAATAATTTATTGATCTGCAAATTGTCAAAGTAATTCAACTTATTGGAAGGTTATGTTTATAAATTAGATTTAGATAAATATTAAGAGCGATAAAATGCACTCTAGTGTTATTTTGAGACAACTACTCTGTTCCATTTAACGATGTTTGGCAGTGTTTCACAATGTAACGCAGAGACCCTCTGTGTTAGTAATTGGAAAGCAACGAATGTTAGATTAAATATTAGTCATGAAAATGGTTCTTAAGGTTGGTTTTTGGTAACGGTCAGACATATTACTCTACATGTGACGGGATTACTGTTTTTGAAGCACCTACGTTGACAGTCGATTGTTTTTGGACAAAAAATTATTGACCAAAAGAAACTATAATTTACGTTCGTCATTTTCCATTTAAAATTTAAAATAATAACTTACATAGTCATTGTTTACAAGACATTACCAGTTTATTTTGCATATGTTCTTTAAAGCCAGATCATAGAAAGTGAACAGTGTATCTGAGAAATATAAAGTTAACCGTGTAGTATAATAAAGTCGCCAACAATGAGCGACGATCAGACAAACGAACCAACTGTCGAGGTAATTTATTATTTATATGATAAAAATGACCGGTTAATTTTACCGCCATCTTAAACTAATCATCTCTTATCTTTACTCATATTAAATTTTTGCCCATATTTCACTAATCATATATATATAGTGTAGCAAACTAACAGCATAAAACAGCCAAACTACGTTTTTACTTTGTAATTACACATACCTGTATATATATATATATATATCTCTCATTTTTGCAATCACATAAATTTCTTTAACTTCTAAAGATATATTTTATAAAGAACTGATTTAATGGTATAATTTTTCTTTTTAGTTGTCGTCAAACGATATTGAAAAGTTAGAAGAGGCTAAGCTGAAAGCTAAATTTCCTAATGCACTTGGACGTCCTATTAGTGGCCATTCGGCATTTTTACAAAAAAGATTAGCCAAAGGTGTAAGTAAATATAGAATATTATATAATATAATATAATATTCATATATATTGTATGTACGGTGGTCTGTAACAAGTGGTACCAATGAAAAACAATGGAAAATGTAAAATATGATTTGTTCATATAAAGCTTTGTTTTAAAGAAAAATAAATTTGAAAATTTGTCGAATATGCATGCACTTGATTTAGTTATAACTTAACGGATGTTGCTATCTTAATTTTGGATATTTCAGAGAACATTTCTATTGTTCTTAATGTATTCGCAAACATTATCTGTACATCTCTTACATTAGTTGTACTATTACGCTTATCAAACAAGGCTTTTAATTTCCAGGATTGCAAGCTCAATTGCTTGTACCAATAGTTATGGAACACCCTATATATTATTAATGAATATTAAATATTAAAATGTTCCTATTTGATTTAAATCATAGTAAATTTTTCTTATATGTATATGTTTATTAATATAAATATAAACTAAGAATATAAAATGGAAGTACGATATTAACAATTGCAGCAAAAATATTTTGATTCCGGTGATTATCAAATGGCAAAACAAAAATCAGCGGCTAAGCCAAAACCTGCTGGCATTTTACCAACAGGTGATGCTATTCCTACGCCAGAAACTGTGCCGCAGCGTAAAACTTCTATTATTCAACAAAAATTTAATACATCAACAACATCTTAAGGTTATCACTATATATTTAATAGTAATAGTTATTAAACAAACCATCGTCCAATTAATATGGTTCGATTATACAAATTAAAAACAAATTAGTTAAGCATAGTCATAATTCTTTAGGTAGAGAAAAAGGAGAGAGAATTCTTATTCTTTTATCTTTAATTTTGCTAATAGCATGTTATAATATTACTCAATAATTAATTCATTTATATATTGCTAAACACATAATGCTAAAATTGTCTTTAAAAAAACAACAAAAAAGAAAAAAAAATGTTTGAAATATTTTAATATAATAAGTAGTGTAAGATCCATACATGCAATAATTTTTACCTGACTTGTAATTAATGGTTGGAAAATATTTGACCTAATTAAGAGATATGATACGTTTTATTAATCATTACTTTTGTGTTTTATTTTTTTTTATTTCTTATTAAAAAAATTTGTATCACAGTAATTTAGTTGATTTGATTATTACAAAATCTTTACTTTGAGTTTTTCCGATAAATAAAAAAATTCCAACTTTATATATACCATCTAATTTCAAAATGATAAATCATATAAAATAAGAAAATATACATATAAGATACTGTAAAATTACGTGCATGACAAAAGTAGTAATGATGTACGAATGATTATTAATTAATAACGAATGAAAATAAATCCAGTGCTCTATCTACGCAATAGAGAGAGATTCAGGGTAAAAGATAATATTAATAATACAGATATGCATTTTAAAAGTTGCTGTGATGCACTTAGTAAGAGTATTTTCTTATAAGGAATTCAGATTGTCCTAAAAATCTGTGTGCAAAGTAAGATGAATCACAAAAGAAGCTACTCTGCTTTGATTATTGTAAACTATATTAGTAATATATTGCAATTAAAATAACGAGTCGTTTTTTTTACTACCCAATTTTAAAAGAGTACCATTGTAATTTTATTGAAAAATCAAATATTATAAATGATCTTATATTTTTAATAAAACAGGCTGTGAAAATAATATTTGTGCTGAGGACTGAATATTTATCTCTTGGCAAGCAGACAACATATTAACACCAAGTTCCTTTTATTGAACTTTAAACAACCATGATCTATCAGTCGTAGAAAAACAAGAATGTTAGCCGTTTGTGATTGACGTGACTGATTGTGAGACAGAAAATGTAAGGTTGGTCCATAAAAATCGACGTAACATTTAAGTATTAAGAACAATAAAACATATTTATAAAATGATCAACTTAATTATATCAACATATATATTATTCATTCATTCATTTATTTAGTTATTTATTTATTTATTCACAACTTCCATTATTATAAACAAAATTAATTAAGTAAATATTGAATCATATCAATAATTATTAATATTATTATTTAAAGATTTATGGGACATCAATAAGTAATTATGAATTTTCATTTGTACCTCATATATATATCACAATTATTATTTTAATATTTACATTATACACAACATTTCCCTCAAATATTTTTTATTATATTTTTACTTTAGATTATACACGTAAGACTCCACTGATTTTCACATCTCACTTATAATACAGCTGTATAAACCATATATAACTATAATATAGAATAACACTTCATTCTCCCTTCTTAACGCTATCAGTACAATTTTGTTTATTTAACAAAAGAAATCAACTCTATAAATGTATACAAATATCGTATAAATTTATTAATGGAGAGAGAGAAAGAGAAAAGGCACTTTTTTAATAGGACCATCCTAAGTTGTTTCCTTTACTTTGTGTAAGCATTAATGAAATAATTTGTCAATAAAAAAAATTTCACATTAATTTATTTTAACGAATAACTTCCCGTATGTGCGATAGATGCGCGAAGAATTTTTTTTCCTTTTCTTTTTTTTCGCAAATGCAATTGTTCCCAACAAATGACATCATTAGAAAATTATTCAAAAATTATTGTCAATAATTATCAAAGTCTCCGGAATAATAGGAATATTATTTTTAAAAATAGACATATTTTTTCAGAACAAAAATATCAGATCTTTCAATGATTACTTTGCATATATATATACAGAGTGATTCACCAGCTCATGCCACTTAAATAGCTCCGAAAGAATCATAGTAGCAGAAAATTGGATAAGGAAAAAGTGGCATGAAAAATTCAGGACTACAATATGACATTAGTATTTTTTTACTAGGTTGAGTCATTTTCGAGATTTATTGGTCAACCTTGTTTTTATAAATACAATGTTATATTTTAATATTTATTTTCGGATAACGGCTGACAAGACGAATCCAATGATGTACAACATTAAAAACAAAACTTAACAATTACCAATGAATACTATTCGGAAAATATCTGTTCCGTCTGTTGTCGGAACAACTAAAGGATGACGCAACCCTGATGCAACCGTGGCGCGATCACGACGCGACCATGATGCGAAAGAGCTGTATTGTGGCCGGCTTGTTCGCCAGTTTTAACCTTCGTTGAACTTCAAAAATATTAATGTTGCACATCATTTGATTCGTCCTTTCAACCGCTATCCGAAAATAAATATTAAAATATAACATTGTATTTATTAAAACAAAGTTGACCAATAAATCTCAAAAATGACTCAACCTAGCAAAAAAATACTAATGTCATATTGTAGTCTTGATTTTTTTATGCAACTTTTTCCTTATTAAATTTTCTGCTACTATGATTCTTTCAGAGCTACTTAAGTGGCAAGAGCTGATGAATCACCCTGTATATATACCCTGTATAATATATACACGTCAAATCGACCACTTTTGACCCAGACCCCTTTCGATTTTGTTGAAACTTTTTTATCATTTTTAACTTCATTCAAAAACTTTTGGAGAATTTTTTCAAATTTTTGTGCCCAATCCAAAAAAGTTATGAATTTTTATTTATTTTTTATTTCTTATTTTTAAACGTTAGTTCATAATGTACTTATTTCATACCTTCTCTAGATGGGCCGAATTTTTTTCTATTTTTTTTAATTACAAAATTTTTCTTTTTTATTATTTCGGCATTTACTTTTGTTTGTATATTAAAATAAACCTAATTAAATAAATATAAATATTTTTAAATGTATTTAATGTCTTTAGTTTAATTATATACAATAGAAAATAATAAATACAAAAAAATTTCAATTCACTATTGGTCAATTTTTTAAATAAATATAATTAAAAATTTATTTAAATTTCTTTGGTCACTTAAATATAATAAAACTAAGTATATAATTAATCTAAGGTCATAAAATACATTTTAAAATATTTATATTTATTTAATTAGGTTTATTTTAATATAAAAACAAAATTAAATGCCGAAAAAAAGAAAATGAAAAATTTGAAAATTGAAAAGAAAATAGAAACAAAATTCGGCCTATCTGGAGAAGGTATGATTTAGGTTCAAAGTGAATGAAAGTTTAAAGGAGAAAAAAAAAAACAAAAAAAAAATTTTAAATACCAAAATTTGAAAAATTTGAAAAAAAAACGAAATATTTTATAGAATTTAACTTCAAATATTTTCTTTATATTTTTTTTCAAACAGTACATTTAAAAACAAAAAATTAAAAAAAAAAACATCCTGATAATTATTTTGGACAAAGTTATGGCTATTTGAACCAAACATTTTTTAAAAATTATGAATTTTTCAAAAATTCATAACTTTTTTTGGGTTGGGTAATAAAACTTGAAAAAAGTTTCAGCAAAATCGAAAGGGGTTGGGTTAAAAGTGGTCGATTTGACGTGGAATGTCCCATATATATATATATTAGGGTAGGACAAAAAAATGACTTTTTTTTTTTTACAAGTGCCATGGAAAAATAGGTTGCTAGACACCTTAAAAAAATTCTCACCAAATATGAGCTCTTAATTTTAATAGGAAGATCCTCCGCATCGTAGTTTTTTATTTTTTTTTTTCAGTCCAATAGATTAAAATTCATACCTCATCATTTATTGAATGTWCAGAAAAATGTTCTAGACAAATTTTGTAGGAAATTTAATGCTCTACAAAAAAGGTATCTTATATTTTTTCCGTAAACCTCACCATTTGAATGATATTGAAGATTTAAATTTGATGATTTTTAGACAAATTTCATTTTTGTTTATGAATTTTATAGCTCGACAATAAATGACTATTAAAATGTGCACAATACAAATTTTTGTAGGAAATTAACTGCTCTATAAAAATGGTGTCTTATGTTTTTGCGATTAAATTAAGCGTTTAAAAGATATTCAGAGACAAAAATCAGTACACATGAAAGTTTGATGATGAATATCTTTTGAACGCTTAATTTAATCGCCAAAACATAAGACACCATTTTTATAGAGCAGTTAATTTCCTACAAAAATTTGTATTGCGCATCTTATAATAGCCATTTATTGTCCAGTTATAAAATTCATAAACAAAAATGAAATTTGTCTAAAAATCATCAAATTTAAATCTTCAATATCATTCAAATGGTGAGGTTTACGGAAAAAATTTAAGATACCTTTTTTGTAGAGCATTAAATTT